CACTATATCGTCATCGCCTCCCTCTCCAGCTTTGCCCTCGCATCTCGCTCGAAGGCAGCTGCGGATGGCCGCAGCTTCTCCTCGACTTCTTTCTCAAGCCTGGAGCGCCTCATGGCCACTTGCAGGCACGCCACCCTCGCCGACAATCCGACTTTCCCCTGCAACTCAGCAGCTTCTCGCGCTCCAGCTGCTCCTTCAAGGTCTTCAGCTTCTCGTCGACCTCAAACGGATCGAGTTACTGAGGTCGCACCAACATGATGTGCGTAGCAAGCTCTTCAGAGCCGCAGGTACAATGAGGCACTACGTGCATCTGCCACCGCCAGACTACCGTCATCACATCACCATAACCGGCAGTTTGTCGTTTTCGTGCTTGCGAGTACAGGCGCAAAGTCAGCCCTCGAGGCGGGTTTCCCCATGGTTCGTCAGTTGGTGCCTCTGTGCAGCAGTCTCATTATTTCTATCTGCTCGGTTCTGCAGAACTGGTCCATAAACGGAAGGCGATGTCCTGACATACCCCGCCAACCCGTACCGTGGTGACACACGACGCCCACCTAAAGCATTCAAGCATCGAGGAGTTACAATATCTGGGCTCATGTGCTGTGCGTGCGTCTTCTGCTTTGATCGTTGACCATGATCTGAATTCTCGTAGACTCGTAGACCCGCTTCCCAAAAGCTTCGCCACGCCTCCGCCTCAAGCGCGACCTTGTCGATAGCTGCAGCCGTGTCATCCGCCTGTCACGACCACGGGAGCGCTCAGGGAAAACGTCAACCTGACAAGTGCGATGTCAAGCGATGGCGCTTCAACGAGTGACAATTGCCTAATGTGGACCCTGCAACTCCGGCTGCTCCTACTCAGCATGTCAGCAATTGCAGAATGAGAAGTCCGGTCCAGATCTCGCCTGCTTTTGAAGCTTCTCTCGCGCGGTTCTTTCCATGTCGGGGAGACCTCTCCTCTCAAAAACTGAACAGTACAAAGAACAGGACCATCAAGTTTCCACACCGCGAAGCTGCATGGCCTGGCCCGTGCCCGGCAACAGTCATGAGGCTCGCAAGACCCTTTCCTGGCTTTGTCTTCGGCTTCCTGCTCAAGCCGCTTCCTTGCTGCCTCTTCCTCATGCTTTACAGGCAAGCAGCAGGCATCATAGGCTGCAAGGCCGTCAGCCTGGAAAACCGTTATGCAAGCGGGGGGCTCTTGGGCCATCTGCAGGCAAGCGGCAATCTGATGTCGATCCGCCGAAAGGCGCTGGAGAGCCTCTGCTTCGAGCTCCTGGCAGGGCCATGAGAAGCCCCGCGACTAAAATGGACAAAGTTACTAGCGCCGAGGCTAAGAAAGACGATGCGCACCTGCTGAAGGCGTGACTCAAGCTGTGGCAGCGAGGCCCTGACCTGGTGTGCCGTGACTTGGGGCTTTTGTGCGTCCTGCTCTCCCCAAGTCGCTGTAACCGCTCCGAGCTACACATTTATGAGTGATCTGGGGGAGGTTCAGTCTGCGTGGGGCGAGCGTGGGATTTCAGGGCCAGGGATGACTGAGACACTCCGATGAATAAAGAATGAATCATAACAGGATAACGACCCAGCCAACAATCGCAACGTCTCGAAGTGCACTGAAAGTCAGAGCTCCAGAGCTTGTCCAGGCCTTCTCTTCCGCGTCTTTCTCCAGCTTCTCCTCCAATTAGCAAAAGCTTTCATCAACCTGTTTCAAACCAAGCGGCTCTTTCAGTTCCCCCAGAAAAGGACTCCCGAAAGTTAGGTACGAACACTCTGCACCCCCATGGGTACTGTCTGTGGATGAGACGATGCGAACCTTGAACAGGCTCTGCAGCCCTGGACTGGAATTCTGAATGGTTTTGTTTCCTTCAACTCTGCTGCAGGTCCTTCACCGTGCGTTCTATCTCCGGGATGGAGCTTCGCACACGTTCCTCTGCCTCAGAGTTTGCACTTTTCAAACTCGGTGTTTCTGCTCAACTCGGTGATCCCGAATGCTTCGAGTCGGCCTCCTTCTCAAGAATGACCCGCGCTTCTCGCTCGAATGCTGCGGTTGAAGGGCGCAGCTTCTCCTGAACTTCCTTTTCCAGCTGCGCTCGCCTAAGTTCGAGTGTTGGATACCTGGATGCCTATCCCGGGACCTGAACACAACACTATGAGGCCGGGAAGCTTCTCCTTTTCCAACTGCTCGCGAAAGCTCCGCGTCTTCTCCTCGACCTTTACACCAGGTGTTTCACGCGTGTACGAATAGTGTCTTTGTTTGCGAAATGCTGACGCACTACACCTCGCCTGTCTTTCCGCCTCTGTTCGACTCTTCCTGCATGTCAAATTCAGCACACGCTGCACCAGAAAGCAAGACGAGGAAATTCACGGTCCTTTCGAGTTCTGCCGTCAGCTGCTGTGTGCGCTCTTCGCAGCGGCGTGCGAACTCTGCCTCTAATTGTCGGAGCTTCTCCTCCGCGCAGGCGCCCTCCATGCAACGAGCATCCCGGTTGATAGCCGGGCACGGCACAAGTCCTGGTGCTCCCTGTCGACTTGCTGAAGTTGCGCGAGGCGCTCGGCCTGAGTGCAGGATCTGCAAAGGTTCTTGCAGAGGGGTGCTGTCAGCTTGAAGAGTTGCAAACCGCTGGTTGC